TCCAATAACAGTTACTGGGTTGGATATGATTTTAGTGCAAATTAGAGTTCTGTTGATGGAAGTTCATTCCTTGTGTTTCTTTAGATGGAGGTGACAATAAGAAGTAAAATGCTATTTCAATGTTTTAACTGGATTATTGCAAATGTAAACTTTCTGTTTTTCTTTTCTCTGTTCTTTTTCTCCTTTCTTTTTCTCCTATGGGAATTGGATAAATGTAGGTAGCTAGCTACACAGAATAAAAGGTTGGCGTTTCTCTGATTACGAGTTAGGCAACCTCAAAATATAAGGGTTGTTTAATGATTTGCATCCAGAAATTTCCATCCTAATAATGGTGTATAGAAGTTATAATTATATGTTTAATTAGAAACCCTGGGAAAACATAATAAACGTGGATAGTGGATATGCCCTATATGTTTCGTTTTGTAACTTTTAAGGTTTAGGACTGCAGTTTATATTTGCTTCTGGTTTCTTGAATCTCTCTGGCCTTCAGAATTGGATTTTTTTTGGCCCATAAATCTACTTACAGGGGACCAAGTTGTCACCGGGCATAAAAAGGCGAATAACGAACCATACTAATCAATGTTCTGCAGTGATCGATCACCCCAGCTCTTCCATTCTTTTAAAATGATTTACTGAATCTTTTCAGTTATTTTAAGTATTTATTTAAAATGCTATTCGAGAACTGAAGTAAAACAAGTTGGGATAAAACTGGATAAAATATCCAAAAGATTATAATTGAAGAAATGGTGTGCCAATAGCTTCAGGATTGGTCGAGCCATAGATATCCCCAAACCAGGAGAGTCTACAATGAGGAGTTTAAAGTGAGGAGGCTATTTGAGGAGGCCAATCTTACTGTCAAAACATTTAAAATGTTTAAGTCCCATGATTTCTATATATTTGTTGATAGTGAGATTGATCAACCTCAAATAGCCTTTTCACTTTAAACTCCTCATTATAGTCTCTCCGCCCTAAACCAGACTCAGAAGGAAAACTAAGCCCAGAAGTAGACCCAATAACTTGAAACTAGCCCCAACGTTTGCCCAATTAAATGTGAAAGTGCCCACAATTCGGCCCAAAATCATGAAAGTCAGCCGAAAATATGGTCCACCAACTTGAAACAGCCCCAAAAAGTTGGCCCAGTAACATGCAAATGGGCCCAAAAGTCGCCCAATGACATGGAACATGCCTAAAGTTCGCTCAATAACGTGTAACAGGTCCAAAGTAGACCCAATAACATGAAATGGGCCCAATATTAGCCCCGATAACACGAAAGAGGCCCAAAAATTCGGCCCAAGTACATTAAATGGGCCCAAAATTAGGCCCAGTAATGTAAAAGAGGCCCAAAGTTGGCCCAGTGGGATAAACAGGCCCAAAAGTTGGTCCAACAACATGACAGAAGCCCAAAAGTCGGCCCAATAATTTAAAATAGACCCAATAACATTATAAAGGCCCAATAACGTGAAACTGGGCCCATAATTCGGCCCAATAAGGTGAAACAGGCCCATAATTCGGCCCAACAAGGTTAAACAGGCCCAAAATTCGGCCCAATAAGATGAAAAAGGCCCAAAAGTCGGCCCAATAACGTTAAAAAGGCCCAAAAGTTGGCCCAGAAACATGAAAATGGGCCCAAAACTAGGCCTAATAACGTTAAACAGGCCCAAAAGTTGGCCCAATAACATGACAGGCCCAAAAGTTGGCCCAATAACATGACAGGCCCAAAAGTTGGCCCAATAATTTGAAACAGGCCCAAAAGTCGGCCCAATAACGTGAAACCGAGCCCATAATTCGGCCCAATAAGGTGAAACAGGCCCAAAATTCGGCCCAATAAGGTAAAACAGGCCCAAAATTCGGCCCAATAAGGTGAAACAGGCCCAAAATTTGGCCCAATAAGATGAAACAGGGCCAAAAGTTACCCAATAACGTTAAAATGGCCAAAAAGTTGGCCCAGAAACATGAAAATGGGCCCCAAACTAGGTCCAATAACGTTAAATAGGCCCAAAAGTTGGCCCAATAGCCTGACACAGCCCAATAATTTGAAACAGGCCCAAAAGTCGGCCCAATAACGTTAAAAAGTCCCAAAAGTCGGCCCAGTAACATGCAATGGCCCAAAACAGGGCCCAAAAGTTGGCCCAATAACTTTATACAGCCCAAAAGTTGGCCCAATAACGTAAAACAGGCCCTAAGTTAGCCCAATAGCGTGACACAAGCACAAAGTTCAAGGCAGGCCCTATAACTTCAAGGTAGGCCCAAATTTCTCGTATATGGGGTAGATGTAGGCCCAAGATCCTGAAAATGGCTAAATAGAGCACGAGACTGCCGATGACCCATTAATTATGCGATCATGAACCCGTATTGGGTCCAAATACTGGAATTTTTACTTATTAATGTCACGTTCCATACAATCCAATTGGGCCAAGTAGTTACAGTATGATTCCATTGTCATGCATCGGATGATTTGATGAAGTGAAAAAGGAACTCAAGGAAGAAAAAAAAACCAAAAAACATCTTCCCGATCAGAATCGAACCTACATAATCTTCATCACAGTCGTTTTTTTCATTCTCATTTTATCCTCTCATCTTCCAACTATCATTCACCCAAGTCGCTTTCTTCATCATCATCATCATTTATCATTTCAAGATCCCACGCCTTCTCATCAACGAGCTTCGGGTTATCGAAGCATCCCTCCCTGAAGTACCCTTTTGCATTTTCAAATTTTACAATAGAGCAAAAAAAACAACCACCAAATGAATGCAGATACACAAAAGCATAGCAGCAAAAGATACAGAGGAAACAGATAAAACAAGTACAACTAAATGTACAATAACTGGAACCGCAGCTCCATTGCATCCAGGGATGGACATCAAGAAGAACTGGAGAACTATCTGAGAAGTTCGCTATATGCTCATTCGTGAGGACGCATCATTTCCAAGCAGTAGCGGAACTAAAATTTTAATTTTTTCGGGCCAAAACATAAATTACATTTGTAAAAATATACTGACTGCAGATCAATTGCTGAAGTGGCATTATTTAAACATAAAAACCAATCAATTGCAGTGCAATTCCTAATCTACCAATCTAAACTGTACTAATGCATGCATCGCATTATAGAAAGAAAAACTAAGCAAGTTCACTGTCGCATATTTGTACAATTTATATAACTATTCTTACTGTTTTGAAAATTCTATTGGACAATGAAAAAGTTCTTGAGAGCGCTTCTAATAGAACCCAATAGTATTAAAAACATAACAAATGTGCAAAGAAATGGACTAGAGCCCAATTTCCAGCAAAGAAAGGCTGGTAGACTGTTAAGTCATCACTTGACATGCATGTATTGCAGCATTACCGGGGGCCTTAGCATCAGAAAAAGACTTGCTTTTAATATTTCTAGGCCAGTTGCTTGGTATTAATAGTGGTGCCCGAAAAAGATCATAGGGCAGATTCATTGGAGCTGGTAAATTTAAGTCCAGCCTAATTTCAAATGCTTGATTGTATGAGGTCTTTAAAATGCACAAATCACAAAGACAAAGAAACCTGACAAAAGTTGAGAGAGGCTACACAGAATCAATTACATTTCAAGCAGGTAAAAACAATTCACTCTTTCAACCTGAAGTATTCCTAAACTCATGAATCATATTTACTAGATTGATTCTTGATAAATCAAAAGGCTCAACATTCCAGGCCCTCTTTCCTCGAGATGTCAAGCAAGCCTCAGTTCTCTTACTTGAGACTGCTATAATCAAATTAAATTATAGCCAAATTTCTCATATTCTAAATAATCTAATAAGGCAGATACGTTCAACAATTTTAGCATGGATATTCAATATTCACCTCTCCTACTAAAAACTCTATTCCCAAATATACTACAAGATTATCCCTGAAAAAGAGGGTGGATGGCAATAAAAATATAAGTTCTTGAAATTTAGGCCCAGATGTATTGTATTTCATGGCAATGAAATTCTATAAGTTGGTGCTAGCTATGTGACAGAAACCTAAATAACACCAAAGGAAAATTTGTAGGGGCAACCACTGCTCTTTACAAACATTCAGGTACAAGTCCACGAGATCAGCCATAGCAAAATAAGAGGTATCAAATGAAGCAAGGATCACAACACAACAATTAAAAGAAGCTAACTGAAATGAAAGTAAACGAGTTAAACTGAAATAGAAGGCATACACTGTGTAACTCTGAAATGAGCAAGCAAGCTTTATTGCATTTTACCAGCAGACAAATAAGTAATTACAGATGCAAGGCAGTCAAAAATACTCACAGAAAATTGAATACCTGAACAGTCATAGAAGGTATTTCCTACTGAATACTGATGCAAACTCTTTCTTTTTTTTTCTTTTTTTTTTTGTGCATAAAATTAAACCTAAGTTAGATTATATTGCTAATATCATATCCAAAAAACCAATGGACGTAACCATTTATTCTTTTTCTGAAAGTAGATAATTAATTGAGATAATCCATCACAGATGATAATTAATCCGCTTCACAAAATGAAACAAGTGGTGCATAACTAAATAAAAGGAAGCATAATATTACCTGCAGATGAAGATCGAGAAGGTAAAGATTCGTAAGAAAACTCTCTTGCATAAGCGAAATCTTTTTCCGAAAGCGAGAACCGATTCTCAACGAAGAATTGAGACCCCGATTCTCAACGAAGAATTGACATCATAAACCGAAGATTACCGGTCGGAGAATCGACTTGAATCGAAGCCATTATGGATATCAGCCTCTCTTGATGATGGGGCTGGATATCGGGTGTGGTTGGAGCGAAGGTCGGATTGAATCTGAACATCTGAGCGAGCTCCATCGATGAGATTTTAGGGTTAGGGTTCGGAGGAATTGACTCTTGCTTTTCATGAACAACGATACGATCATTCCAGTGCCCGGTGGCTATTTTGAGCAAATCTGGCTTGACATAAACAAATAAGAAAAAAGTATCGTCGTGGTGGTGGTGGGTATTTTAGACTTTTCCTTGGAGGCACCATAAAACGCATGTCGTTTAAAGTCGCGGATTTATCCTCCGCTTCCCTTCTTGCAACACAACTCAACTCATCAATCGAAAGCATTAGTGAGGTACTCTCTCTCCCTCTCTCTCTCTCTCTCTGCGATTTTCAATTCAATCAAATACCTGTTTTGAATAAATTGTTGGGCCAATTGATTGAATGGATTTTTTCTTTGGCAGAAACAAAGCAAAGATACATACAGAGAGATGGTGGCACTCAAAGACATAGTGCCAGCAGCACAGAACAACATAAACACAAGGTTCATACTTTTGGACAAAGCCTCCATGAACACATCCTCATCACAGGGCCAAAACAAGACATGCCTGGCACTCGTGGCCGACGAGACGGCGGCGGTCCACTTTCAGCTGTGGGGGGAGGAATGCGATACATTCGAGCCTGGTGACATCATACACTTGAGCAATGGGATCTTCTCTTACAGCAGGAACAGTCTTCTGCTGCGGGCGGGCAAGAGAGGCAAAATAGAAAAGGTTGGAGAGTTCACCATGGCATATGTGGAGACACCAAACATGAGCGAGATTCGTTGGGTTCCTGACCCCAACAGCTCTCACAAGTACATACAGGAGGCTGTAATTTCTCCACATTCACGCATATTTCCACCCAAATACTAATATCATCATCAAGCTCTTCTTCTTGCAATTTCAATTTGTCTAAATTATTGGATTTTGAAACGAGTTGTGAATGATTTTTATTTTCATTTCTGGATCAAAGGATAGCAATTTGAGAGTAATCATGAAACGTATACAGTTCAATTGCAAAACCAGGGTTTGTTCTGAAACACGCCTCTTCAAAAGAGAATACAATAAATGCTTTGAAAAGAATCAAATGTAAAGTTATTATTTATGTTACAATACGGTAAAACTAATAAACCCAATTTCCCTTCCCTATAAGTTATCTCTACAGCATAAGACCAAAAAAAACCCCTTCTACATTTCTTCCGCAAGACTACGTTGTTGTACATATGTTACAAACTCAATTACGAGAAACGGTAATTATTCAGTCCCTAACATCTATGTTTCTAGCATTCTCAGGCTGTGTACACTGACTAGACAAGGCTTCAACTTCTGCAACTCTAACTTCCAAATAGAACGACACACTGCGTTGAGGAAAACAAATCCACAATTTGGAAACTGGGAAAGCATCAGGCCTCAGGCGAAATGTGGATTGTCACATTCACTAATTGTAAAATACAGAAGTCTATCAGCTATATATATGCAAGTGAGTTCCGATCAAGATCAGGCTGTGGTCGGCCACGTGTAGGAGTTGGCGGTCTTTGAATGTTTAGCTCCTACAGGACATCAGAAAGATACAAGAGTATGAAAGAGGCAGGTGGCAACTTTTAAGATTAACAATTAAATAATACATATTACGGACTAACAACATTATAGAGAATGGCTTACCTGCATCCATGTGTCCTCTATGACCCGTTCCGGAGATGTCTCCGGTGACTGAAGAGGAGGCGGCAAAGGATGAATTAATTTTGGAACCACAACCAAGCCTCTGCCAACAACCAGTATAGCACCAGCATTGTTTGCCGTCCCTACATGAAAAGGCCATATGAGATTGCAAACACCAGAACATAGAAAGAAACTGACCAGAAATTTGCTTACCACAATAGTTAGTTGCAGAAAAGAGGGTGATCAATTGTCCCTGGGCAAATCTTTCAAACCCATCCATAACACATTCATGAGCTCTTATAATAAGTTGTAATTTGTTTCTCTTACAAAAATCCGTGACACGATCAGGCTGCGAGTAGTAAGAACATATTGGTAGGGTGGCACAAGTATGCATTTCATAAAATTATGCACATGCAAGCAAGCAGCAACCATATGAAAGAGTGTCAGATGAAACAAGATTACTAAGGTATTCACACACTGTCACTAACAGAAATGGGAAATAAATTCATGTAAAAAGCAATTACACATGTCCATCCAAATATGAATAAAATAAATAATTTTTTTTAAATTTTAAATTTTAAATATATATATATATATATATATAATATATTTATAATATATAAAAAGGGCTAAAAGTGCATACCCCGAATGTGACAAGACCAGGCCCTCTGGCATTTGGTCTCAAGCCCTCTACACTATCGTTTTCTGTAGGATCAGACCTGTGTACATAGATTTCATAAGACCATAAACATTAACCATCAACAGCAAACAGACAGATGAATTGAGCAAGAGTGTACCACAGCAGATCCATTAAGATTATAGACCCAGCATCCATTGTAATGGGTCTTTCAAGCTTCTCGATCTGTTCTACTGAAGTTATAGATCTTCCAATGCCTCCATGCATACAAATAATTTTCTTTTCAATTAGTGCAGCAAGTGGGAGATAGTTGAAAAGTTGATTGAACCGTGTCCATGCCCATATTCCGTCATTCTCTCCCTGCATGCACATAAGTTACTACAACATTTAATATTCTGAAATTTCAGAGAAAATATATTATCAAGTCTGCGTAAGTATCCATACCATTCTCTCAATGCATTCAATACGAAAACCAAAAAGTGCATTGATATCAGCTGCCTCATGGTTTCCACGTATTAAGTGAACATTGTCAGGATACTCAATCTGCAGAATCAAACAGAGCATGCAGTCAAATATAAGAAGTGACAGAATACAACTATAAATGAATTAGATTACTTAAAAGCAGAACTTGCCTTAAGTGCAAGGAGCAAAGTTATGGTCTCCAAGCTGTGCTGTCCTCGATCAACATAATCCCCCAAAAACAAGTAGTCAATATACCTGTAACAACAGAAGGGTACCATCAGCCCCAAAAAAAAATCCTTCTAACAACAAGTCTCAGTTCAACATCTTAGAAAGATTTTGACAAGAAGAATTGGAGTAAATTCTTTCTTAGAACTTAGACTACTGATGTCTTCAGTGAATATCAGAGTCACAATTCTGGTGCAAAACAAATTCTTCCCACAAGTATAATGACCGATATGGCATGAGAAAAAGTGCTCAACTTACGTTATGTCTCCTGCAGCAGATGGAAATCCATATTCATCAAATAAGCGCATTAAATCACCAAACTGTCCATGAAGATCGCCAAATACTTTAACAGGGGCTTTCAGCTGAAGAACTGTTGGCTCCTGCATAAAGATCTGCTCAGCAGCATAACAAAGTTCTCCCACTTCATAAGAATCCAAGAAAAACTTCCTATTCACAGGAGCTTTCCAGTTCCGAGGTCTCAGCAATGTAGATATAATCTGCAAGGAAACAAATGACAAAAAACAATGTTGAAGTAAGAAATAAAACGTCAAAAGAAAAAGAAAAATTAAATGTTAATTGATGCTTGCCTTCTTATGTAGGCCCTGTGGAGACTTCTGCCTGGTGAACTTTTTGTTAGGATGTGATAAGTCGTTATTCATTGGAATCATTCGTCTACTCTCATTTTCAAATTGATCCAAAGACAACTGTCTTACCATCCCACCCAGGTTACCTACAGCCTCTTTGGCAACGACAACCTACAACAACATAAAATTATAAATATGCCACTTAAAGATGCAAACAAATCCCGAAATTAGGCATTGATACAACAGACATACAGCTCGGTGATGAAGGCGAACATCTGCCTCAGTGTCACTACCATCGGACAATGTTTCTGCAACATGTGAGTTATCATCCGAAACAGAAGTTTCTTCAGCAGGAGTGGCAGATGTTGCCTGCACAGCTTGCCAAACAGCACTAGCTGCCTCAGCTTCGGCTGCAGAAGCCTCCCGTAGTTTCTCCATAGAATTTTTGTCCATGCTGCCAAAGATGATTACGTATCGCACAAATTATGAGCATGTGGCTCAGTCAAGTACTTTGGAAAAGAGGAAAACGAGGACACGGAAAAATACCTCAAACCACTGGATGGGGGACTCTCAGGTTCACCATCCGAAGATGGTGATGTTCCAAAAGTACTTGTGTTTGCGTGAAACGGTCTGGGACTTGTTACAGTTGGCGATCTCTCAGATGTTAAAACAGGCGAACCAATTTCAGATTGAAATGATGAATTTTCTGCAACCAAGAAGTCATCTAGCAGTATGTCTGTACAAGAAGAAAAACAAAAATTAGATTACCACATGATATAGTATATACAAAACCACATAAGTAGAGGAAGGCTGCACCAGAAGTGCATATTGGAATCTAATCTAGACAGATCCCAGAGGTCATATACACATATCTCGCTTAATTTAAACGTTTTTTAGTGTAGTAGTATAGCTACAAAACAAACCCTATGAAAATTTCATTAAAGAAATATTACCGGTGTTAACTAATACCAGCTTCTTTTTTCAGGAGACATCCCCATAAATCCAAGATACCAATGCTAAATCTCTCATGTCAAGAATCTTATGATAATTAAGGTGGAAAGCTACTAGATGATAATAAACAGAATGTTTTAGTTTATTCTTGCAAATAACACTTTGGATTCCCTCCTAACAACCAAAAATCAGTACGTCCATTCTTGCAATTAACACTTGATTCTTGTTTGTTATGCCATTACATTATTCACATTCTCAATTATGTTCTAAAGTCTTTACCTCCCTTAAGACCTCCATAAATATATATACGAACACCAAGAGATGCAGCAGCGTGGCGACAACGACGCATAAGCTCCAAAGGAGGATCATAGTCATTCTGTCCCTTTCCTGTCCGTGAGGAAGTCACAAGCCCATTTCTGTCTAGCCAAACTCCGGCAGCAGTGTCCAATACTATCAAATAAGGAAAAAGAACATACAAAAAAGGTATTAAGAAAACTTACTGAAATTACCATATAAGTCATGGTGATGAAATTGACAACCAAAAGATTACCTGCAATAGCTCCTTCACCTTCTATACCACGTCCTCCCCTAAGAGCACCTCCTGTGACATGTAATCTTGCACCAACAAAAACCTGACAGCAAACAATGTCAATTTGATGCTTAAATAAGGTTCAATGGGTGAAGTTAAGTCAGAAGAGAGGCAGCCAAGTACATACAAAAATGCAAAATGCATTCATACCAAGAACATTATATGATTTCTTCGCTTAAATATATATTCCATAACCTAAGTGGTACACTTAGAAAACACACATCAAATAATCCTGAAACATACAAAGGGTAGTATATTCCTGGTTTATATATTATCACTTACCGCAGCATGTTGATACCTTGGTGAAGGGGACACTCCAGGTGCAAGGGTCCACTCCCACTGACCATTCCTATGCATGAGCAGTCCATAAGCATCTGCTAGTGGCTGTGGGAGCATAGATATGAGCAAATGCATCAGATAAACTATTAGCCCAGAAGACCTCGAGTATACAACTGACACACACACAATACCCAACTATTTCTATTAGTAACTTCATAAATGAAGGCGAATTTATTATTTTTTAAAAAATTGAAAAATTAGATCCATGGTTACAAGGAAAATCTACTTAGAGAAATAAAGCCTCTATAATTCAAAAAGACATCTCCGAAACACATGGAAAGTGCCAGAAGTGGGTTTGATATAGTTGAGAAATGTTTGCTAAAAAATTCTATGTAAACTTCATGATCTTCAATGTCATGCAAGTGAATGATTCCCCCTAACTTTCCAAATCAATCCTAAATCACTTCTTGCTCCATGTTTCACATATGATTTGGAATCAAATCATCTGGAAAGAAAAGATCCCACATACCGCTCCAGAAATATCTCTTCCACCACAAAGCAAAAACATGCCATCTGAGCGGGCACTGGCTGTTGCATACCTACAAAATAAGGTTGGTTCATGAAGTATTTACAAAGTCCACCAGCATTTTCATAACTTTTCAATTGTCAAATATGAATATTACTCACATTCTAGCAGAAGGTCTGTCACCTTCTGGGTTCAGCCTTGCCCATGCATAAGGTTTCTGGGCAGTATCCAGAGCCCATGCATCAGAAAGAACTCTTTTTCCTTTAAAATAAAAGTTAACATTAATAAAAGATAAAAGGAACCATCACATGCTTCTAAAAAAAAGCCTTGCATTTGACAACAGTGAAACTCACGGATAACAAATACTAAGGGTTTAGTGAATACACCCACCATCGTTTCCACTGACAGTAACAAGATATCTTTGAGCAACTAAGTCCATTACATGGCCATACCGAGGCCCAGGTCCTTGTCCTTGTACAACCACTCTACAGACAGATAACAAAAAACCGAAATAAATATGATTCGTACCACCATTTTAAAACATAATCTATAAAGTCTGAAGTAGGATAAGCTCAATTTAAGGTCACTTATGCTCACCTGTGCCATTTAAACTTATCGTTGGTTAAATCAAGCACGTAGAGATCGTCTGTAGAATGCCCAGCAGGACCTATGCCACCCTAGACATTGAGCAGGAATCCACACATATCAAGCAAACACTCATTAAACCCAGTAAGAAAAGTTAATCCATATACTTTCAAAGCATTAAAAGCCCAGTAAAAGAAAACCTCCGGAATTATAAACCTCTAAATTTCCAATCAGTCCTCAAATGTATTTCTTAATTTACCTGAAAAACAACCATAGTGCCCACCGCAGCTGCCGCGTGAGCTGCCCTGGGAGACGGTGGCTCACCTGCAGGTCTCATTCTGCAAAATTTGAACACCAACCAAAGCAGAAGAACGATCAGTAAGCTTCCAATTCAATCCAACTAGTTATAAAGGTCAGATATTATTTTTTTTCCAAAGAAAAGGAAGATAAAAGAGAGACATAATTTACAATTAGCAAATGGCAAATACCTAGTCCACTTCCTGGTAAGAACATCATAGGAATGAACCGAATTGGTCACCCCCGCTAACCCTACATTCAGAATTAACAAACGCTCACACAACTAAGCAAAATCGAAAAGGAACAACTTCAATAAAAAAAAACCAAAAAAGAAGAAGTTAAGAAAGGGAGAGAAATGGTACTGATGCCAGGGGCGGAGGAGGCGGCGCCGCCTTCAATGGCGGTGGCACCACCGAATAGTATGAGGCGTGGGCCATGGGTCTTGGTGGAAGCGACGGCGGTGAGGGTGTGGCCGCAGCGTGGACCAGGGCCGTCGTCGTCGGTATCCCAATAGGTCTCGAGAGTACGATAGGTCGGAGCCGGGTAGAGCCATGGCTTCGAACCCATCAAACCCAAACCAGATCAAAACCAAACCCGAACCCAGAAGCAGCAGCAGTAACAATCAAGCCTTTGATTGATCTGCTGCTTCGTCCTCCCTGCTTGCTCTTTCTTTCGACAAATCGATTCAATTAGAGGGAAAAGAAAAAACAAAAGAAACCCGTTAATGGTGATGATGATGATTAGTGATCGCTGTTGGCTGAAGTTGTGGTGCTTGCTGGGGCCCGAGCTTCGGCTCCGGACCCTCTATTTTCTTTTCTATTTTCTTTGTTTTAATTTATGTTTTTACTTAATCGTATCGAATCGAAATGAGAATTGAATTGAATAATCGGGGAGGTTGTAAGGGTTTCAGACTTGTGGGTGTTAAATACGTTGCCTTTTTTTCTCCTCTCCTCTGTGAGATAACACCTATGAAAGCCTACGCGACTGCGCAGAGTCAACGGCGTCAGATTTTGTCCGCATTGTCCATATTTAATACAAGTACATTGTAACAATGGAATAAACGAGCAATTTATACACTAGCATAACTAGATTGTCCTCCTAATGAAGAAAAAACTACGCCACGTCCCATTAAATTATTGATATATTGATGTTACTGGTGCCAATCAACTGTAAACATATATCATCCATACACATTTTCATAACATCTCATTTATAATGCCATCTATAATGTGTTGATATCATTGTTGTCAATCAGTATTCGTATATTTTCGACACAATTTCATCAACATTATCCATAACACAAAACATAAAAACCTACCAGAAATGTTAAGCCAAATTTCGGGTACATTTTGGTCTTCTAGAAAGACAAAAAAGTAGTCTTTTAGATATCCGCCCATACATGTATATATGTATAATGTATGTAACAACGTAAAGACTTTACCAAGACTTTTTTTAACACGCCGGGTTCTTGTTCAACATTCTGCAACAAGCAGCTCTAAAGCTAACAACACAACGCTGAGCTACATAGTTCACAGCGGTCAATGCCCATCACGACAAAAGACCGGGATGGCCCCAAAATTGAAGGAAATTTGGCAGAAAGAATGTAGATGAGGCCCCACTTTTTGGCATGAGAAGCGCATTTAAGTTACAGGATGCTTGGAAGGAGGAATCACCATCATATCTAGACAGACAAAAATCCTACAAGATTCTGAGCAACTTTCTGGACCAATATCCTCCATCATTAACTATCAATTCAACGAATTTACAAATAATATATACACCAGAGATGAGATGCGAATCCATTTCAGACATTCTGACAATAATTCAAAAGACGAAAAAATAGAATTTGCTTGAATTTTGATCAGGGACATGGATTAGGAAACCTTTCATGAATCTTGTTGATTTCTGTAATTACTTCAGGTGTCAACTCGACCTTGCATCCATCTAGAACCTCCTGCAGTTGCCATGACTTGGTTGCTCCAAACACAACACTCGCAACAAGGGGGTGGCTCAAAACAAAAGCTGCCACATCAAAAATTGAAATGCATAAAACATAAATATCGTCAAATCTATAGTTTTAAGGACAACAACATAGTTTATGTCAAATCTATAAAAGATGTATTCGCTCAAGCAATTAAAGGCGGAAATGATGCTGCAATCAGTGTTTTCCTGTATGTATGGTTTCAGCAACTAGGTTGAGAAAAAGGGAAGAGGAACAAACAAGCAAACAGGTGATTTTTCATTTTCCAACATTGTCTCCAAACCACTGTCCTAACGTGGACAAGAACGTGAAGAAACTATAAAGAATTGGAGGGAGAGGTGTCTAACCTATTGCAAGAGATACCGGGTGAACACTGTACTTCCCTGCAATATCAATGTATTCCTGTGAATGGAAATAAAAGCAGATTAGTAAATCAACGTGACGGGCAGTATTTGATAAATACAACATGCAGTAAAGAGACCAAATGCTGGAACTAGAGATAATATTCAAAATAATTTTCCTTTTAGAACAAGGAATACTGCAGACATTCATGAACTGCTATGGCACCAATGCAGAAACACAGGCTTTTATGTACCCACACACCCAAGCATGCATGCATACACTTAATCAAAAGTAATATATTGCCTTTAAAAAAATATTAATAACCACTGGGCATCATACCAATAAGACGTAAAGATGACATTGAAACAAAACCAGTGAAAAGGTATGACTATCATTTTCTCACCCAGAGGGCCAGATTTTTATCAAAGTTTTGAAAAAGGCATTTGTGCTAACTTGAATTCATAGTTCTAAATAACCTTGGATTCAGAGTAATCTTTCAACTGGCCTATCAAAGTGAACAGAAGAATATTTATACCATGGCCGCTGCTCTTATGATGTGATCAGACAGGTTGTATCTGGATTCCCCTTCCGAATATTTACCTGCAAATAGAAACATGACAGTCCAATTGAAACAAAATCACCACCTAAGAGTGCAGAAAGTTCCTACATATCAAAAGATGACATGAACAATTTGAAAATTGACCTCTAAAAATATTCAACCGAGCATCTGCAGGACCCCCATCAGGCAAAAAATACTTCCCAGAGAGTATACCCATTGCAAGGGGGCTGTAGGCTAATAAACTGATCCTAAAACATTCAATAGCCCAACAGAAAATCATTAGTATTACATGAAGTGGCAGCAAAGCATTTATAAATAATATAATTAAATTGATCATTTTACCACTCAATATAACTGACTCAGAAACTCCCTTGAATAAGGTTTATTCAATGGCTTACCTAGGTTTGAAAGCCATAAAAAATGAAAACCCAAAATGCATGTTAAGATAAGAAGCCCTCCCCAAAAGTGACTCTCATGTTCTCTGTTGGAATTTTAATTCCAGTTACTAATTTTATATTATTCAAGCTACTAATTAGCAAGAATATTCTATTGAATTTCTTCAAGAACTGCTCAGGACAGGATAGGAAAAGTAACATAACTTCAACTTCATCAAGAAATTGGCATGCACAAATCAAGCAAGCTTTCCCTATCATTTCATACCAGATGAAATAATTAATTGTTCAGCTATTCACTTTTTCTGAAAACCAACACTTTGAATACCTCTCATGATGACAGCATTCAGCCAACCCAAAATCAAAAGTTCGACAGAGCAAGCTGTATGAGTTCTATCAAATAGACAATAAGTTGCATTAGTCCAAAAAACAGCAACAATACAGTAAGCATTTGACTGAGAGTGCAATGATCAAATAGGCAACCTGCACAGAGACAATCTTTGGATGGCGAGTACCCCTTTCAGCTACCTGAACAAACTTCATCACCCCATATGGTGTTTCATTACTAAGACCAACATATCTAATCTACAAAACAAACATTTCTGTTCAATTCACATGGGAATGTTATGCTCTTAAAACATTGCAAAATAAATGGAAAAGTCACCAAACTAAATGACTTATCAAAGAAAGGAGAAGAAAGGCAACAGTATGAAACTAACCTTGCCAGAATCAACAGCTCTTCCAAGAGCATCAAGTTGTTCGTCTATAGGAATCGCACAAAGCTGTCGGGTTGGATCATACTCAATCTCTCCAAACATGGGAACATAGCTACAAAAGCAGTCATTAATCAGTTCAAGTCTTACTAACACGGATTGTGTAGGCACAAAGTGGAAAAAGCAAGACAAGCCTGGGTGAAGGCAAGCAAATTATGGAGTTGTAAACATATATGGTTGGGGAAAAAATAATGTGAAAGCAATGAAGGATACACCCATTGTCAAATTTAGAGTAATGTGAAAGCAAAATCCCAAAACACTAAAAGGAAGGATCTACATACAAACCGATCAGGCCAATGAATCTGATAAAGATCAATGTAATCTGTCTGCAATCGCCTTAAGCTGCATTTAAACATAACATAACTCATCACTCAGCACAGCATAACACGAAGCGTTTAAACAGAAGCAAAATTACGAACTGTTTGCTTGAGCAAACCTGCCGTCAATGGCCTCGGTGATATTCTTAGCATTCAAACACTTGGGGCCATCTCGTATCCAAGTCATCTGCCCAGACGGTCCCGTAACCTGTAATATCAGAACAAATTTTCACACATCAGAAGTGAAAAGCAAGCTGGCACACCATTATGAGCATGGACTGATACTCTCAGAGCTACTTTACAACCTTGGTGGCCAAAACGACGCTGTTTCGAGGAACTCTGCGCTCTCTAATCCAACGGCCAAGGTACTCCTCGCTCCTCCCCTGAGTCTGGGCTCGCTGAACCACTGGATACATTTCTGCAGAGTCGAAGAAATTGATGCCGGCCTGGAAAGCTTGGTCGAGAAGCCCAAACGACTCCGGAAACGTGTTTTGCTCGCCGAAAGTCATCGTCCCTGCGAAGAATGAATTTATATTTGAGGATGAGAGGGAGGGCCAAAGAATCAGACTCAGATTCAGAGGGTATAGAATGGCACAAGTAGATATGGGCAAGAAATAGAGTTGAACCAAAGCACAGCTTTGAAACTGTAAGATTGGGGGCGAGGTTGAAGAGAGGCACCGCCATTGCTTCGCCTGAGAAGCTCTTTGAGTTTGTCAACTGTGAGTGGAACGGGAAGGAGAAAAATCAAAGTATCTGGTATATCGGCGCAAGTTCGGTGGATTTTCGGGGGTTGGATAAGCTAAAAAGAGAACGGAGTCACTATCTGAGTGTTCGTTATCGCTAATTTTCAACGAAAAAAACAAGTTCGAAAAATGGGCCTAGGCGTTGTTTGTTTTTTTTTTTTTTTTTTTTTTTTTTTTTTTTCTAAAGAAAAACTAGTCTTTTAGAGGCCTAGACGTCTAGCCGATTTTTCGAAGTATAAAATTCCTCATTCCACCACATAATTGATACAAAATATTTGTTTACTAAAAAGACCCGCAAATAAAATTATTTTTACATTAACAACTATTTCGTGCTGATAATTGATACAAATATTTGTTAACTAGCACTACCATTTCCCCTTATTCATATCTTATTCAACTATTTTCTATTTTCAATTTGATTTCTCAACCGATAAGTACCACAAATCTCATAAAAAATGCCAGTCAATTTCAATCCGCAAAGATAATTACTAAACCAAAATTCCCAAAGTTTGCGTTTACAACAAATCGTCCCCAAACTTTAACAAGCAGCTCTAAAATTCTTGAGAGGCAGATCCAATGTCTCCTTTCCCTTTACCAATCTTCTTCGGCAACAGAGTCTGATGAATGTTCGGCAAAACACCGCCATTAGCAATAGTAACGGTCCCCAAAAGCTTGCTCAACTCCTCGTCGTTACGCACAGCCAGCTGAATATGCCTTGGAACAATTCGATTCTTCTTGTTGTCCCTGGCCGCATTGCCAGCAAGCTCAAGTACCTGTAACCCAGTCAAATCAAACGCCTTAGTTCACTAAAACAAACAGAGATTAAGAATCAAATTTCAGAATGGTTTCCGATCAAAATCCATTTGCAATAACAATTATTTTCTCATTAACCAAACAACCCATAGAATCAAGAAAACAACGATCCAAAGTAGCGGATTAACAAAACAAACCTCAGCAGCGAGATACTCGAGAACGGCAGAGAGATAGACCGGAGCGCCGGCACCAACTCGCTCGGCGTACTTGCCGGACTTAAGGAATCGAGCGATACGGCCAACTGGAAATTGGAGGCCAGCCTTGTGAGACCTGGACACGGATTTGGAAGCTTTAGGCTTGCCTCTGCCTCCCTTGGAAGTCGGCGAACTCATACTGGGATTTGAATAGGGATTGAATCTGAAACCCTAAGAGAGAAAATCGAAATGAGATGAAGAGTGTGATGCTTTGGGTTACAGGTGTCTGATGCGTGAGGGTTTGGAGAAGATGATGGGTTTATATAGGAGAGACGGGTAGTGGGATGTGAATGGATGCTTTACTCTGATTGGTTGAGGAGGATTGCCGCAGATTGCCAGCGTGGAAATTTAATTTTCACGAACATTTAAAAAAGAGGGAAAGTATGGTAAAACGAGGGAAGCTGGAAAAGTGCGACGCTGATTCAAAGTTCAAACTTTCTCTGCATACTTGGGCCCGGCCCATGTGGAAACCAAACATCAAAATAACAACAGCAAATGCTTAGCAAGATTTTTTTTCTTTTTCTTGTTTTTTAAGACAATTTCTTAGCAAGATTGATTATTCTCAGAAATTTTTGCAGCCACAAAAAATATAAAATTAACGAAAAACAAGAAACAGATGTAATTGGACAAAACCAAATTTGGAAATTAGAATCTGCACTGAACGATATAAACTCCAGTAGAATACAACATGGTTATCTTCCTGGAAGCAAAGCTTTACAATATGAGGTTGCTACTTCCTTCTAACAATCTAAGCTACGCATCAAAAAGCAAGAGCCTTAACCGAACAAGGGGCTCAAATTTTTCTTTTTCTTCCTTTTCCTAACAACAAAATCTACCAACCCTAGAACTCCTGGGAAGCAGAACCAATCTCGCCCTTTGCTTTGCCACCCTTCTTTGGAAGCAGATTCTGATGAATATTGGGCAGAACACCTCCATTAGCTATCGTCACAGAACCCAAAAGCCTCGTAAACTCCTCGTCATTTCTCACTGCAAGCTGAATGTGTCTCGGAGTGATTCTGTTCTTCTTGTTGTCCCTCGCAGCATTCCCTGCCAACTCCAGAACCTGAGCACAACCCAAAACATCAAACAGTTAGCCAACAATAACCCACAAAAAAGAAAGAGAAACCCCAAATGAACAAACAAGTTAATATAACAGCCTTAAAACGATGACGTACCTCAGCAGCTAGGTATTCGAGGACAGCAGAGAGGTAGACCGGGGAGCCACTGCCGACTCGTTGAGCGTACCGACCGGCCTTGAGGAACCGGGCAACGCGACCGACGGGGAATTGCAGACCGGCCTTCTGGGATCTTGAGACCGACTTGGTGCCTCTGACCTTGCCTCTGCCTGATTTGGTGGTCGCTGCTGCTGTGGAGCTCATGGTTCTCGATTTGGGAATTTCAATTCAAGTTTGAAAAAATTCAAGTCTTTGGAATTTGGAGATGCCTTCAAGGTTCAACCGTGTGGGTTTATATGGACGGAAGGGTCAGTGCCAGAGAGCGTTTGATTGGTACGGTGAGGTTTCACGAGGATCGCTGACGTGGCTGTGGAGGGAGATGATTTGTATAGATTTGAAATGTTTCGAGCCCGCGAATTGAAATCTCAGTTCGACTGTAACTTTCGAATTCAAAAAACGACGTCGTCGTCTCCTGTGGGTCATCGTCCGGACTGGGCTTCGCTTATGATTGGTCTAAGTCATGGGTTTGTGGGTTGAGGTTGACCCAACCCAAACAATTGACTAATTTTTATCTGGGCTTCTCTTAATGTGGTCTGGAAGCTCAATTTGGTTTTGACCACATTCGATGAAACCACAATTTCATGGGCTGTTTCCCCTTGCTTTCATACCGTTCTTCTAGATAAAGTCTATAATATAGTTTAATAGTCACATTCCTTCGTGGCTGATACGTTCAAATTCAGTTGAATTGATCATTAAACCCTGTTTGGGGAATGAACCAACCAATTGATAAGTTACAATAATAAATATTTTTGTTTATTTTATCAATAAAATACTATCATTTTTTTATCAAGAAATAATTGCAATAATAACTTCGTAACTCCATGTCAATTTTTCAACGTCTAATACCATCCGATGAGAATTAAGAACCATATATAGTTTATGTAGGGTTTCAAGTCATTGATCAAATAATTCGGAGAATTTTTCAGCTGATATTTTCCACAATTGTTTTTGTCCTTCCCACATACCCGACAAGACCAACTTCATAGTTGAGATTGTTGGTGGATTTGTGGGCATGTAAATTGTAATGTATAACAATTGTTAGCTCAGGTAGGTGCATTGAAATTTGAATTCTAATGAAATGAGTTTGACCTGAAATCAGATCCGCTTCCAAGATATTCAATTATATTCATCTCATGCGCCCCATATTGCTTGCAACTTTTGCAGTCTTGATGACAATAGCAGAAACTAAAGCCGGCAAAGTTTTGAACTAGTTTTATTTCATAAATTTGAATCATTTGATGAAGAATACATGGGACTCGTTTCGGAGTGATTCTACATAGGTTAATAAGCACTTCTCTATATAATCATTATAAGTGGTTTTTAGTGACTCTTGGATGTCCAAGTTTGGAAGAAAATAAAAGACTTGAACAAGCATCGATTGAATTTAAAACAAAAATCTCAGTTCATTTTAGGTGCTTGTAAAACTTGATTTCTCGCCGTAAGTTACATATGAGACTGAACTGAAGCTTCATCAGAGGCCATCTTGGTTCCCTATAAATGGGAGTTTTACTCACTTTTACAACATGGTTGTGGAGGGGAAACACAATTATAACTCCTACATATCTCTCTCTACCCCAACCATTCAAACTCATCATCCCACATTATACAACAAACATCCGAAAATCGACATAACTATATACACATTTGATTGCATAGTGCATCATAACATAACAAGATAATTCAACAACACATAATAATATTCATGATATCAGTTCTTCAAGCTCGCTCTTTTTCATGACACAAAGGCTGGACAAGAGCTGGGTGGTTCTTGAAACGGTCCAAATTGATAGGCGTCATACCCTCCAAACTCTTCACATTGGCTCGAGCTCCATGAGCAACCAACAGCAGAGCAACCTGCACGTTCCCCGCTTCCACCGCGCAATGCAGCGGCGTGTACCCATCATCATCAACCACATCAACCTGAGCACCATGGTTAAGCAACACCTTCACACACTCAATCCTGCCTTTGAATGCAGCCCTGTGCAAAGGGGTCCACCCATTTTGGTCCCTCCCATTCACGTCTGCCCCTTCCGCAAGGCAACTCTTCAACCCATGCGCATCGTCCAACCTCGCCGCCCGGTGCAGAACGTCGTCGTAACGCAGAACACCGAGCAGGCCCGAGTGCCCATTAGCCGCGGCTATGTCAAAAGCCGTCCTTCCATCTCTGGTGACGGCATACTTGACATTAGAGCAATCTAACAAACACTTGGCGGCCTCCAAATGACCCTTCTCCGCTGCGCAATGAAGAGGGCTCCAACCTTCACAGTCCGAAACCTCAGCATTGCCTCCAACCGAAATACAAAACTTCAACGTCTCGATGTGACCATGCGCCGCCGCGACGTGGATCGGAGTCCGACCTTCCGGGTCGACCCAATTCAGGTCGATCCCGGCGAAACTCTTGCACAAAATCTCAATCAAATCGAGCCGGTTTATCGCCGCCGCTTCGTGCAAAACCATGTCGGCCGAATTGTTACCAATTCCGCAGCCGGAGGCTATCAGAACCTTTACAGTTTCAACGTTTCCGGCTCCAACACCCAGAGATAGCAAAGACCCAGAATCCGAATTTCTCTGATTCACAACCGCACCGGCGTCAATCAGGTCAGAAACCAAGTTGGCATTCCCAGAGGCTATGGCGGGTTTGAGTAGCGCAGTGAGGTCAGATACAGAACACCCAGAAATCGCTTTGTTGAAGAAAGAATCAAATCCCGAGATTCGGGTTTGCTGGGAAATGAGAAATTCAACGACATGTGGACCCACGAAGGCGATGGGTATGGTGGCGTCCTTGAAAACGTGGGGCCCAGGCCTTGCGAACAGACGGCGGAGATCGTCCTGATGCGCCTTGCCGGTGGGGAGCATAGAGGTTTTGACGTTCATGACGTCATGAGGGGTCGACAGAGGGAGAGGGGGTTGATCAGAGGGCTGAGAAAGGAAGAGGCTGTAGGATGCTGAGGAGAGCGGTGGGATTATGGAGAAGGGCTGAGAAAAGGAAAAGAGAGATGGGTTTGTGGTGGTAAGAGACACAGCTACAGACATGGTGTGCATGAGGTTGCTTAGCCTGAACGTTGTGCTGCACTTTTGGTCTCTCCTGAAGTTGAGCTCAACTTCTTTCACGTCTGGCTTCACCAGTCTGTCCATGGCGAAACTGAAACTTAAAAAACCCCTCTGGTGTTCTTGTTTTCTTTTTTTCTGGGGAAGGTTTGGTTTGATGGGAAATTATTCGAAATGAAGAAGCTGAAAACGGAGACTGGGAAGGTGGGGTGATCTTTTGCTTTCGTTTTCGTTCAAAAGTTGTTTTTTTATTTATAAATATATATAAATATTTCTGTGGGAGTTTAATTGTTTATTGGAGAAGTTATATGGTTGGACTAATTTAATGGTTGGTTTAGGGTTTTGGTGTGTAAAGAAATTGAGAGAGGTGGGGACTTTGACAACGAGAGAGAGTCGTAGTTGTTGGCTTTGTTTGAATTTGAAATCTTGTAGATTGAACCACCTTTCTTCGAGAGGGGGAGACAGATTGAGGTACATATTTTCCGTAGTTTAAGTGTTCAAACTCCAACTTGATGACCAAGTGGGTGAGGCTGTGTGGTGGATTTCCTAGTAGGCTCCATGTTCTCATAAAATTTCCAACAAAAAGTCAGATCATTTTGCTTAAATTTCTGAGGCGAGACCACCAAGTTTAGGCAGCTGATAAGGATGCTCAGCTGCGGAAATTACTATTCTATGGCGTGTGATTGAAAATATAAAATTATCATTAACGTTAAATGGGATCTGACTCATCACAGTCTAATATTTTTAGCTTCTTCTTCAACGCTGATATGTAGTGCTCGTTGAATGGCCAAATTTTGGTGTTTTATAACTCGAGTGATTATGAGTTGTTATTTATGCATTTGAGATTCTGTGTTCGAGTCCTCTCCTTCAATATCATTTGTAACAGAAAAAAAGAAAGTAAAGTAGTTTTGAAACCTCAGAAGCAAGCAGCATGCATTGCTTGATTGTAATTTGTAAGACACAGAATGCCGCTAGATATACAGTTACCTGTTCTTGCAAAACAGTTTTGAGTTTACATGGGCTCCATTAACACACAAGTGACAATGATTGCCCTTTGACTAATGAGAAATGCCGTGAATTTCGATTAGTTTATGTTGTTAAACCTAATAAAGATGCTGTCAAATATAAAAATGTACATTATAATCGGATGTTTATGCCCATAAAAAAAACACTATTGTTTCTTTTGTTTATTCAATTTATTGAACCAACCCAATAGTTATCAATTTTTTTATGGGAGTTTCACTAAAACACCCAAAATGGAGGTTGAAATTATAAAAAAACCCAAGTACTATTTAAACATATAAACACACCCAAAACCTATCATTACACACACTCAAAACCCATTTATAAACACACCCAAAAAGTTGAATTTGGAGTTGATTTTGGGTGTGTTTCTATGTTTAAATAGTGCTTGAGTTTTTTTATAAATACATGTCTAAGATTGGGTATATATTAGTGTCATCAAGCTGGTTTTTGTATTGTTGCATTTCGTGTTTGTTCTTTTCTTTCTAATAGTAAGGAATCGATGTAGTGATTTTCGGCTCAATATGAGAGAGAAGATCGGAAGCATATTTGGCATATTCTTCGGAAGTTGCAGGATTTGATTTTTTCTCTCAATATTTTGTGTCGCTTTTTTATATCATCAAGAGAAGATAAATTTATTTGTAACGGAGATAGCACTATTTAGCATATTCTTAGCCAATAGTATAATGACACGTGGAAACATTATCTTACATATCATTGTATTATTAATCGAGGATAACAAAACAATGTTATTCCCGTTACATGAGAGGGTTTCTTTATGATGAGGCCTGGATGGATTGGATTATTTGCTCTTTTTTCACTTGTTAACAGCATAGAATTTGATTTTGGACTTGCTGTAAGTTAGTCTGCATTGTTCTTCAGCCTATGCTGAAGTCCATGACCCAAAGCCCACTTGCTGAATTATGTTAAGCCCTCATGTTTTGTACAGTAAATATTTTGAGGATTAGGCCCATCTTGAACAGACTTGTCACCAAGTATTTGCAACATGCAATATAATATGGGCCTTAAGCTACCCAATAAAAATAAAATAAAAACCCATTGCTAAAAGCCTGTCATCTGACAGAGACTCACCAACCAAACAACCAAATTATTTTGCTCATTTTTGCTGCTCTGTTATGTAACCAAAGATGCATCTTTTAGATCCACGATGGGTCATCTCTGGGAAGTCCTAAAATGAGTGACCTTTAGGTAAGTCCTAATGTGCATCTTTTAGATATAGCCCAAGAAAAAACAAGGAAAAACTATAGAAACCGAAATACTTGACACGGGGTGCTGGCTAAAGGTTTGTTGCTGCTGCTCTGGGGGTCTTTGCCCCCTTTTTTCACCAAGAAAAATATACTTGACACAACCAATGGGGTTTACCTGCGGTGGTTTGGCGGCATCTATTCCTGTCCTTCCAACTGGCATTCAGGTTCGAAACCCCCTTATGTAATCAAAAAATTATTTGACACGTGTCTATTGGCATAACCATGATTCTACAAACATAAAACAATGAGTTAATTGTAGTTATGCCCATAAATATGTGTCAAGTAATTAGTAATGAGAAGGGTGGTGAGAATACATATTGGATTAAAGTAATTAGTAAAAATATTTTCAAGTTGAAAAGGTATTTGAAATATATAGAAAAAAATTCCGTCTTTCCCTTTTTTTTAAGCATTGTCAAGCGCCAATAAACTAAATTGGGACAAATCTATTTCCCCTTTTTATTGGTTTCCTTCCTAGATCCATTTTCGGTATTTCAAAAACTGGGAATTGCTCATCAAAAGCAAGCATTCTCACACTTTTAAAAGATTTGATCCAATTCATTGAAGCTTGGTTTGTGAAATTCCCACAAAATAGGCTGTGACTGTCTCCAGACATATTTGTATATTCTTCCCTTCCCACACACCCCTTGTACTCAATGTAGGGAACCACATCATGGTTCGCCATAGTCGTTCTTTTTTTTTTTTTTTTTTTTTTTTTTTTTTTTTTTTATTTAATTCATCATCCCTCGTCATCATCATCATCCCTTGGTCATTGTTTTTTTATTGCCATTGAATTGGAAATTCAATGCTAATTTAAGTAATTTATATTTGACAATGTGTGCTCTGACTCAATCCATCATCTTTAATTAATACAAACGCTAAACAAAGTTTGAAACCATGGCATATGTTTATATTATCTTGGAGGAAGAGTTTGTGAGTTTGCAAGAGCTGTCCATTTTACTAATATATTTTATTTTTTTCTGATGCATTGCTTGCAGAAAAATGATTGTCTCAAACACCTTATAATCCAACCCCACCAAAAAAAAACCTTAATAGGGTTCATTTTACATGAGAAAAATAGTTTATATTTAAAGTTTAATTTTAAAAAAATCATGTGAAATATATCATCATCTTCAGTGGCCAATTGGGCTGCCTTGATAGTTACGTCACAACTTTTTGATAATTATGAATTATCCATACTAATTAGTATAAGCAAGCTTGCTCCAAAGTTTTCTCTGGCCTTTTTCATTTTCTGGTTGAGGATCGTTCCTTGTAAGTTGAAGCAAGCAAATGGCTAATAAAGTATCCCAAAGTTGAAGCAACCCAATTGGCTTAACTCATGTCGGCGTGTGAACGATACTTATAAATGCATATATAGTTAATTATTTTAATCAACAAAGTAGCTAATAAACGTTCATCGAATCTCGTAAAGATAATTTTTTCATGGATGATAGTTGCTTATGACAAAGCTATCATACCCGCCCCTTTATTTCAACTGAATTATTCACTTTACATGCTAAATTAAATGCTGTTAACAGTTTGGTATTACCTAACGAATAATAAAGCGTGGTCCATGACCTTTTAAGATGGATGAGTATAAAATTTGGGGACGATGCATTGAGACACACACACACACGCATGATAGTATGATACATGACGATGCATTGATACATGATGATGCTTACTTGTTTTTACTTTAAGAGAGATAGAATCTATCTGATCACACACCCAAAAGCCAATACTGGCTCACACACAAATTCAATGCACATTCTTACTTGTTAGGTGGTTTCTTTGTTTTAATCACACATGAGGCATCTCCAAGATCCTAATTCATTGTACATGCCTTTCTCTTTTGTCTTCGTATGTCCATTCAAAAGGCGCACACATAGGCTGAACGTAAATGGCTTCCTTTCTTTTTTGCATTATCTGAATAATAATAAAGTTATCTCAATACGTAATCGTATACAAAAGGGATTTAGACTCATTGACTCATAGAGTCTTTGCCTACAACTACAAGGAAGGGATAAATATTTCCACTATAATAAAATGGATTGAACTCAAATCTATATGAACTTTATTTTTTGTCTTTTGGTCAGACAATCTAGTATCAGCTAGTTTTGTAGACTTTTTTATTTAATCGAATCCGACCCATGATTGAAATCTAACCCCCAAAGTTAATGGGATTGGATCAATGATGGCAGAAAATTAGCCACACAGAAAAATATTATTATCGTACTTTGAAAATAACATGCATGTACCAACCAAGCATAAAATTATGTATGATTTCTATAATTTTAAATGCCTATAAGAATAAAAAGTTATTCAATTTACATCCAATGAATTATATTAACATGTGTCGGAAGAGTTTTTATTAATTAAATTAAATATGGTTATTTCTTTTGATACAAGAGATAACGTGCAATGAAGCGAACTCTCTTTCGTGATCAACTGACTTAACTCGTTTCCGTGACAAGCTGGTCTACCACACTTATATGTCTGTTTATGGATTTAAAAATCTAAGTCAATTGAAATTACCAACCAAAAAAAGTTGAATAAACCCTCTTTACTAATTTGTTTTCAACATGTGGAATAGTTTGGATTTACAATAGAACACAAAATTCAAATAATTCACCTCTCTTTAGTGGGATTGACCAGAGGGACACAAGAAGACAAAAGCTTTTCCCAGTTGTTGACCTAACGCACAAAAGGCCAAACCCAATGTGGGCCGCACGTTACTACCAAAAAAAAATCAACTCCCAAAAGAGAAAAAGGGATATGACCCAAATTAAAAGAGAAAAA